GTTGGAGACTGAATGTGTGAGGAGGCCTCCCTTGCACCTCGGGTCCCGAGGACTCTGGAGTTGGGGACACAGTCCAAGCAGACAGCGAGTGGCAGGGGTGCCAGTGGTGGTGACACCGTGCAAGCTGGAGTCCAGGTGCTCGTTGCAGAGCAGGGTAAGATCTGTAATCAAGGTCAAATGAGCCAAGGCCACACCAGTCGGGTGTTTCAATGAAGCCAAAAACATCACCTTCAGCATATTGATATTTACCAGTGTGTGGGTGGCCTTTGTTCCCACCTACCTGAGCACAAAGGGGAAGAACACGGTGGCCATGGAGATATTTGCCATTTTGTCATCCAGTGCTGGGTTACTGTTCTGTATTTTCCTTCCTAAATGTTACATTCTCTGTCATAGACCCGAACAATTGCCATTAAGAATTGCATCTAAAATGGTCAATGACTAAAAACTCACCATAATGTTAGAAGAAAATAGTTCACCTTAAAGTGACACTAGACTCCGGAGTTATATCCTAAAAATACATTCAAGTGCCTTAAATCTGAACAACAATGTATCTTATTTGTGTATCACTCGGCTGTAGATGCTCCAATCATCTCTGAATTGGTGCTGACACTGTCCTTCCTTCTGGAGGGGGGCTACTTTTGTTCCCCATGGTCCCTGTGTGTGTTGTAAAGTAGTCACTACTCCAAGCTTGCTCCTGGGATGGACTACAATCTCATGTTTGGTTTACTCATTTGTATTGAGATTGTAGTCCATCCTGGGAGCGAGCTTGGAGTGGTGACTACTTTACAACACACACAGGGACCATGGGGAACAAAAGTAGCCCCCCTCCAGAAGGAAGTACAGTGTGAGCACCAATTCAGAGATGATTGGAGGATCTACAGCCAAGTGATACACAAATAAGATACATTGTTGTTCTTAGTCAAGGGACTTGAATGGATAATTAGGATATTACTCCGGGGGTTTAGTTTGATTTTAATAAAACATATGTAGTTTGTACCTGCATGTCATTTCTGAGCAGTTTTGAACTGTAGGAATCTCCCACAATATAACAGGAACATTCCCGCTATATTTCTGCATGAGGAATATGCAGGTAGCTGAATGTAGGATGTCATGCTGTTGGGTATTTGGTTTTCATGTCATAGAAATTAAAAGTTGGTTGTTTCTAAATACTAATTTTAATGGCTTCTCAATAGTTATATCCTTTCAACACTAAAATTGACATTTTATTAACTGCAAAGTTAAAGTTTTTTTCCTTTTTTTAAAGTTTTGGATAAAATACACCTTAGTGACAACTTTAAGCAAGAGAAAATATTTTCAAACAGAAGCCGACATTCCCCAACAAGGACACAAGGGATAGGAATCTGACCCTATGCCACACCACCCTACCGGTAATCTTAAACAAATGTGTAAATCAAGGAAATTAAGCAACAAATTCCAGAAATGACAGGTAATTCACCAGACCTTATGCAGGCTTATGTGCTACTACATCATACCGATGTTAAAGGGGTGGGCTGTCCCCTTAGGGTAAGCTCCAACATGTTTGGAAGCAGACAACACACTTGTCACATAGACTCACTAGTGATTATATAAGAGGACCCATAGGTGGCGGGCTTCAGTGGACATTTTTAAAACATGAGAGAAATGAGTGGCAGGGGTTACTTACTAAAAGCCACTTTGACCTAAAGAGAAAACCCCTGAACCTTGATGTAGGGCACCTACAGGACTGGTTAAGAATATGGAATGCAAAGGCAAAATTGGCATGAAAGATGAGACAGATGGAAGTTCCCTTATTTTGGTGTTAAGGTCTGCCCCTACGATATGTATGTAATTTGGGGGGTAGGGGTGCTGGCAGAGAATGATGATGGGGAGGTTGTGCTGATTTGGGGGAGTGGAGGTCGGACCGTGCTGTTGACGGCTTTGTCCAGCGTCCTGCCCAACTCACTGATGTCACTGGTTTCCAGGAGCTCGGTGGGACACCAGCCAGAGCATCCAGCTCAGCTCCTGGCAACCGGTGACGTCAGTGATCTGGGCAGGAAGCTGCACAGAGTGTCACAGGTTGCTTAGAGTTCTTAGCAACCTTGAATGCTGTGGCCACCCCCCACCACCCGGCTGCCCCCCAATGAAATGCCGCCTGAGGCAACCAACTCGGGCTATATTTGATAACACTTTTTTAGACTTGACATTATATATGGTCAGGCAAATTTTGCATTTTATCAGGACCAGATTTCCATCATCATGTTCCTAAGGCTTTTGGTTCCTTAGCAACGTGCCTCTGTCAGGATAAACGAAAAACAATGCAGCCACAAAGGATACCCATTGAAGAAGGACTGAAAGCGAAAGTTACCAGAAATGTGTCCCAGATGACCACCAGCAAGCAGATGGGGCCAAGTAGGTGTAGAACTTGGAAAAATATACTGTACATGTACTGTCGTAGCATTAACAGTCACTGGGTGAAAAGAACATGATCATCAGGTCACATTAATATTTTTAGCATGGAAAGTAATACACAACCATTCACCTCTCTGTAGTGTTCAAATATAGCGAGTGTATAATATATAAATCTACCCAAATATATATTTATGTTTATGTGTGTTGTGAAAATCCAGGCAACCTCAGTACTTTTCCAGAGAGTAGCGTTTAATCCAACAAAAGCAGATGAACAGGAACAGTCCAACAGAGTAATAATAAAATAAAGTAAAATAATGAAGATTCCCAGTGAGTACCCTTCTCTATACCATCTCTCTCTCCTTCTTTCTCTCTCCTCTTCTCTCTCAGTCCCAACCAATTTCAGTCTCTCCTTGATATACCCATTTTCCTCATTCACTAAAATGTGGAAGAAGCTGATTGGTTGACCAGAGAAAAACCTTTAATCTTGTTGTTACCAAACAGATTCTTGATTCCCATCTTCCCTGTAACAATTGCATCTCCCTTGAACTGCTTTCAGCTGTCCTTTGCCCTATTGTTTGACACCACTTGCGTTGTTTATATGTGATCACAAATACAAGGCTCTGCTGGTGCCACCAAGCATCTTATCAATCCCATTAACATATGCATCTCCCTTTTTGCATATTGTTTGTGGGGGAAGAGTTTGTTATTTAGTTACGCATACACCCGAAATATACCCCTAATATATCTACTTCAATCATAATTGACAACACTCTCTAAATCTTATCTAATACTTTGTCCCAGAACATGAAGATGTTTGAATATCTTCACAAATGCTTTTGTCACTTCATTATTCCTTAGGCTGTATATCAAAGGGTTTAATACCGGAGTTAGAACACCATATATAAGAGAGATATATTTCAGCTTGGAGAATAGATGTTTAGTTTGTCCCATGTACAAGGTGATAGTTGTCCCATAAAACATGGAGACCACAATCAGGTGAGAACCACACGTGGAAAAAGCTTTGGCTCTCCCATCATTTGACTGAATCTTTAATATGGATGAAACAATGAGAACGTAAGACACCACAATAAACACAAACGGTGCTAAGAGGATAAATAGACTTACAATGAATAGTCTTAGTGTGATGAAGTCAAGGTTCCCACACGCTATCTTAAGCAGAGCTAATATCTCACAGGCAAAATGATCCAGTCTGTTTTCAGTGCAGAAGATCAGAGGCTTCGAGATATTGGGGACAACCGATGTAAAGAACCCTCCTAACCATACAACGGCTGCAATGTTCTGACACATCTTCCAGTTCATAATGACGGTGTAATACAAAGGGAAGCATATAGCAATGTAACGGTCGTGCGCCATTGCTGCCAGCAGTAGGCTCTCTGTACTCCTCAGGAAGTGCCCGGCGTTCATTTGCACCATGCAGCCTAATATAGAAATTGTTCTTCTCTTATAAAGGACAACAAGTAATATTTGTGGGACAGAGATGGACGAGTAACACAAGTCTAGAATTGACAGATTGCAGAGAAAGAAGTACATCGTAGTGTGCAGTTTAGGACTGATAAAAACAGCAGAGATCAGAAGACTGTTTCCCAGAATGGTCATTATATAAATTAGAAATAAGACGATGAAAAATAATATACAAATCTGCATGTTCTGAGGAAAGCCAATCAGCATGAATTCTCCCACCAAGGTCTGGTTCCCGGGACACATATCACAGATCACATGACTTACTGCTAGCTAAATTGTATTTTCTTTTCCAATAGAATTTTACATATAAATGACACCGGACGTGTGTTCTTCAACTTCAAAAAACATCACTTGCTTTCAGATCACATGTGATACATTTAATTTTACAAGCAATAAACGATGAAGAGAAAACATACAGACGAAATAAGAAATCTAGGGGGGTAAAAAATAATGAATGAATAAATAAAATCTGTAAAGGCAAAAAACCTGAAACCACCAAAATAAAACATTTGTTCCCAAACAGAAATCAAATAAAAATAATTTGTTCTGTGTCTGAAAACTTTGCTCTTCACTTGGCTGCCCAGCTAAAGTTTGACGTCCAAATCTCCAGTAATGATTATTTCGGTATACATTGTTTCAGGTTTTATGTTATCAGTGTTATTTTTTTGTCATGTAAAGAAATGAAATAGTTGGCTTTTTTATCATATTTGAACAGCGCCCACTGACAAAGGTCATATAGAGTATTTGTGAAATGATGATATAAATGCATGTGAACATAACTGAATGTTTAGGAAGTGAGAATGGTTTAGGTAAATGTCTCCATCATTATTACAGTCGAAATTTTACCATGAGAATAGTTAATGGCAATAAGTAAAATTGAAAGTTTTCATTCTCCTAAAATTTCAGGAAAAAGTCGGCCATATTTTATAATTTTGGTGAAGTGTATTGGAGTCACTAGGAAAGGAAACATGAAAGAGATTTTGGTGTGATGCCGGTATTTAATAAATAGCAAACGATTGTGCGGAGCTAGCAGTGACAGCTAGCTCCGCCCAATAGTTTCCTATTGTCCGTCGACTCTGCTGCTGCTGTCAAAAAAAAAGAAAAAAAAACAAACTCTGCCGGGCGCTCTGGGAGCCCCCCGCTCCCGGCCGCCCAGGAAAGAAGCACCGCTGTGTCTTTTTTTTTTTTATTCTGACACGGAGCGATGTCAGAATAGACAAAAAAATAAATGTTCCCATTGAAAAGCATTGGGACGTTACTCTTGGCTATTTCAATTTGCAATAGCCAATAGTAAACTAGCATTGTACCCGCCCTCTGCTGATGGACCTGATGGGGAACTGCAGCAGAGGGCGGGTACAATGCTAATTTACTATTGGCTATTGCAATTTGAAATAGCCAATAGTAATGTCCCAATGCTTTTCAATGGGAAAATTAATTTTTTTCTTTCTATTCTGACATCGCTCTGTGTCAGAATAAAGAAAAAAAAGGACACAGCGGTCTTTCTCTCCTTGGCGGCCGGGAGCAGGAGACTCCCGGGGCGCCAGGGAGAGTTAGCTGTTTGGAGATCAGTGTCCCTGGTTAGCAGGTAACCAGGGACGCTGATCTCTCTGCTCCGCCCAGCTGTAAGATCACGGCTGGCTCCGCCCAGCTGTCAGAAGCAGGCCGGCTCCGGCTTTCAGCACGGCTCAGCCGAGCCGATGCAATTGCGTTCGACAATGATCGGGAGCTGTACGGGCTATTGTGAATAGCCCGTACAGCACCCCTTCGGTTCTACTGAACCGAAGGGGTCCTGGGGCCGAAGGATCGGCCGAAGCTACGGCCAGATTCTTCGGCAGTTTCGTGAATAGACCCCTTAGTCAGGTTGGATAAAGACACAAGTCCATCGAGTTCAATGTATAGAGAACGCCATCCGTTTACCTCTTATCTCTTTAAATGGAGTTAGAGAGTTACAGTTTTAACTATGCTGGAAGGGTTCTTGAGCCAAAATATGAACCCCTCATGAGCCGCATGATTTTACTTTATTTTTTACTGAAAGAAAGCAGACAAAGGAAAAAAAGAAACATAAAACATTAAATTGACAGACTGCAGAGAGCAATGAAATACACAGAAACATTTCGAAAAATAAATAAATAAAATAAAAATCGATTTCAAATTTTTTTTCTTTCCTTTTTTAGATTTCGGATCTGAAATTCAATCCGGTTCGTTATTCGAATTTGGGATCCATCCGAAGTTTCATTTCAGGAACGATCCGAGTTTGCATTTTAGAATGAAGTCACATGATTGTGCTTGCAATGCAACCCCCAAGAGTCCAAAAAACATTGATTGGCAAGAGAACAGTCACACGTCCAATTAAATGAAATTCAGATGGATCTGACTTTCATTGAACAGACATTTGGACTCATTCGCATTTGTTCAAATTTGGAAATTCGGATGCATCTGAATGTCCGAATTTGCTGAAATTCGTACGAATATCCATTCGGAACAAAAGGAAATTTACTAAATATTGCTTTCCCTAAAAAAGACCCTTTAAATAATAAAAGGCATAACTTTTTTCCAAGTAATTTTTGACCTTGCGCTCCTCAATAAGCTCAATTTCTCCAAAATCGCTCTGCTCAACCCTAATTGGTAAAATAGTGGTCCGATAAATGTGTCTTCTCACACATACTCAGATCTTTGGAGAATAGGAAAAAATAATTACACTTTGCAGAACTGAATGTTTTCTGAAAGTGTAAATTATAGTGTAGCGCTTATTAAAAACTCATATCGATATGTTACATAGTTACATAGTATCTGAGGTTAAGTAAAGACACAAGTCCATCAAGTTCAACCTATTGTGTGAGTGTGTGTGTGTGTGTGTGTGCATAAGAGTCCCTGTGTGGTCTAGTATTTAAGAGTTCCTATACCCCTGTATGTTATGGTCTCTGAGGAAGGTATCTAAATGATTTTTGAATGAATCAGTATTCTTTGCAGATACCACTGCTTGTGGCAAAGTTCCAATATGTATCCGCTCTATCTGATAAGAAGCCCCTATGCACTTTGTGGATAAATCTTTTCTCCACCAGTTTTAGGTGATGGCCTCTGGTCCTTGTTAGGGAATTTACAGTAAAAAGTTTAAAAAGTTTAGTGCTGGTTCCCGCGCATGGCCCACTCAAACGCACTCTACTTTATCCAAATGACCAACCTTTCTCTTCTTCCTCTTTTCTTTCTTGGACTTGTTTCTGCCTTCTCTATCCTAAAGTTAATTAATACATGGCTTGGGACAACTTCCATAGATGACTTCTACCCATATGTCATAAGGTGCACACTACTACCTTCTGTAATGTACACCATTAATATGCTGTCCTTAGCATCTTAGCCCTTATCGGCCATAAATGGCCCCATCTCTCCCTCCCCTTACCCTGTGTTTTATTCTTCGTTTTATGTGATGTTTGTACCTTTGAAAACTGTAACATTGAAAATTGCAAAATTGGTGCTGTAATTTTTAATGATGCCTAACTGTATCCGTGCAATTTTAATCTATAGAAAATTGAAAGTGAAAAAAGTTTAGTGCTGATGTTGCCATCACCACTGAACATTTTGTACATCAATCTGTAAAATATGTACCAAATAAAGTTCAAATATACCAGTGTAATAATCTCCTACGTAAATATTCACATTTGTGTGTCTACAGACAGTGCAGTGTTAGCTTGTGATAATAATCTTTCCCTATAAAGTGTCCAGTGCAATCTCTGCAATCCTTTCACTATACAGTAATACCTTGGTTTATAAGTAACTTGGTTTGAGAGTGTTTTGCAAGACAAGCAAACATTTCTGAAAAATTTTGCCTTGATATACAAGCAATGTCTTGCACTAAAAGCAAAATTCTGTAGAAAAGCACCACCCGCATAAGGCTGTAGCAGTGCGAGCGATTCATCTGTTTAACGACAATGCAATGTCACATTGAATAGATTCCTTGTTAAGGTTTCACGAAATGAAAAAGATTCCATTGAGTCAAGAGATAGCAGTGATTCTGTTAGTGAAAGTCGTCCTAAACAATAATCCTCCTCTCTCTTGTCCCCCTCACACCAGCCACGAAGGTACCGGTAATCGGTTTATATTACAGTACAGTATTGTAATCATTTTTATATGAATATTTTTGGGTTGTGGAACGAATCATCTGAATTTCCATTATTTCCTATGGGGAAATTCGCTTTGATATACAAGCGCTTTGGATTACAAGCATGCTGCCGGAACAAATTATGCTAGTAAACCAAGGTATTACTGTATACAAATCTCTCTCTTATCTTATTAAAGTGTCCAGTGCAATATGTGCACATTCTCCACCACAGCAAAAAAAACAATCCAAAATGTCTCTTAAATCTCCTTCACCCACCTTCCAATTAATCCACCTTTGTGTCTCCGGGTACCCTACCCAAAATTGGCATGACGCTTCCCTTTGTTATTGGGCCTTATCTAAACAGATTAGACTTAATGACCACAGCAATCGTCCGCTTTCCTGTACCCTTTTGCATAAAACTCAGGCCCAATAATTGTGTGTTCTTTCACATGTTCAGGTCTCTGGAAAACAGAAAAAACAGATAATTCCACTTTGCAGGTCTGAGCGTTTGAAGCAACCAAAAGTTTAGCAGGACAATTCACATTCTAGACTGTTAGTAAATGATTTTCTTAGGGACACAAATAAAATGAGATAACTCAAACCCAAAATAACACAAATCTCTTATATGGTAGAATCTTGTTAGCACTCCGGGAGGTTTATTTTTACTGCATATCTAAAAATGATTTATATATTTTGAATACATTGACACAAAAACATTAGTATATTACCTGGAGCTTGGGTAAGTCTTGTAGCTAATAAAATACAATCAAAGTTAAACAAAATAAAAGTAAAAAATAAAAAGGAATTGTAGTCTGGCAGCTTTTTGCATTGTTTCTGGTAGAAAATGTTTTTGTAGTCAAAAGAAAAAAAAATAAAGTAACTTTCAGATGTACACAGCACCTCACACCACTTTGATTGTATACATGTCCCTTCGTTATAGTCTCGGTATATATAAGCAGTTACTACCGAATGCAGAATAACATCTTAATGCCAGAGAGATTAATCATAAAATGAGATTTCTTACCATACACTTGGCAATTGTCTGCTACAAATTATCTCCCTTTTGTCATTAGAATGAATGGGACCCAGGATGCATCGGGCTCAATCCACAAAGCTTCAACACAAGAATAAAGGTCTTCATTATCAG